TATGGATTTATTTTAAAAAAAGTGTAGAAAAAAAGTAGCAGTCTGTAATGTTGGTGGTATCTTGTAACATCCTGACACTTTGCTTGCATCTTCTTCTAATGTATGTAACCATTGATACAAATTGCCCAAATTCTTTTTAGAAAAAAATTCAAATCAATGTGTTGGATTGCTTGATGTGTAAATTTTCCAGCTGCTGGCTTTTCAAGCAGAATTTTCCTCCCTGTATACTCTTTTTAGAAATATAACTGCAGTTATTTACATGTTCATTTTCTTTGTCACTTTTGTTTGGCTGATTTTTGGTCAGGGAAGTAAGAAGTCTTCATCTGTTGCCAGAATTTGTACAGCTATGAAGTATAGCAAGGATGAAATGTCCAAATTATCTTGCAAAAGAATGAATGGTACATTCTGTCTGGATACAGTTGGGATCTTAATGCACCAACAGGAACTACCATTGGACTTTCTATTTAATAACAAGTTTTTTTAGCAGCATAAAATGACAGTTATTCTACAAACAATCTCAGAAAAGTCCTACTGTGAAAAAAACATGTTTATTTTTTTTAGGGGATGCCCATATTAATGGTATTTGAACGAATTATTAGCTACAATTTAAGAGCATGTGGTGGCTAGGCCACCATGGTTTATCCCATAAAATATAATTTAAGACTAGTTATGTTTTCATGGTCTTTATTGTCTGGTTTCCAACATTTCTTTCTAATACCGACAATCTTACTGATCAAATAAAAAGTTCCATTCATTTTCTTTTGCTTACTGAAAAGAAGGACTAGGAGTGACATGATTGCAGTGTTCCAATATCTAAAAGGCTGCTAAAAAGAAGAGGGGATCAACCTATTTTTCAAAGCACCTGGAGGCAGGACAAGAAGCAATGGATAGAAATTAAACAAGGAGAGAATCAACCTAGAACTAAGGAGAAATTTCCTGACAGTTAGGAAATTTAATTGGGATTAAACTCCTATTCCTGTTAGGAGTTCCAATTAATCAATGGAATGACTTGCCTCCAGAAGTTGTGAGTGCTCCAATATTGGAGGTTTTTAAGAAGAGATTGAACAACCATTGGTCTGAAATGGTATAGGGTTTTGTGCTTGAGCAGGAGGTTGGACTGGAAGACCTCCAAGGTCCCTTCCAACTCTGATTCTGTTATTCTGCTTTTGGCTTGTAGCTATTAGTTGAACCAATACTTTTCTGAATTATATAGACTATCAATGTATAGATTGTCAAGTATGCTCCAATGTAATCAGCGCCGTTGCCTGAAATGGTGCATTTAGATACATACCAAAACATTATTTGCAAGAGGGGGCTGAGTTTTGCCTACACCCCATAATACTCTTGACTCTCAGCTCCGACACTCAAGCATAATTAAGTGAACAGAAAGCAAAGTCTGCATTATACATGCACAGCAACTATGCTTTCAAAATCTGAAGATATTGAGTTCCTATTTCTTTGTAGAGTATATTAAGTTAATGACAGTGCTTAATAATATCTTACATGAGATGCTTTAATCCTCCAAATAAATACTTATTTTCTGCTTTTCTGCAATTTTGTTAGGATTACATCATGTCAGATTACTCTAAGTCTGCTCTAACCCACTTTGAAAAACACTAATTATTCAAAGGTCTTTCATGTTCTTAACGTCACTTTTATATTGCAGGCCTTCTGGGAAAAGTGGGATCTGCTGAAACATAGGAAAAAATGTGGTTGGCAAGACAATAGTGGCTCAGAGTTGAGGTCCTTCAGATGTATTAGGACTACAGCTCCACAAATATAAAGTTAGTGCAGCCAGGAAACACATTCGGAATAACCCGGATGAAAAAAGTTTGCTCTAGAGCAGGGGTGTCAAACTGCCGGCCCACAGGATGGATGCATCACAACCCTGCTCTAGAGCAGTGCATTTCAATTTTGGTAATTTAAAAATGTCTGAACTTCAGTTCCCAGAATTCCCCAGCCAGCTGTTAATGTCCACCCATCGTCAAGCTGCTAAGGTTGAGAAACACTGCTCTAGACTCTTGTTCCAGTTATCCCCTAAACATCCTAAATATCTATTTTCCAATAGTTTCTTTTTTATGGCAGAGGCTTGCAACACACTTCACAGATGAAATTAATTCAAAAGTATGCTGGTTATTTTTTGAAAAAAAAATAGAAGAGAGAGAGAGATGTGCCAACCTTAGTTTTTCAGCATTAAAATGAACAAATCCATTTGCAAAAGAAATTTGGTGGCTCTATTTCATTCCATCTGATAAACAGCTGCATTTCCTAAATCTCTCAGAAAGAAGGTCTTAAACATTGCATGCAGCCTTGTTAGCCTAATTGCACATGAAAACTTCTTAGTCTCAGCATATTTGTGGAGAATTCATAAGAACAGAAAGGAAGAGCTATTATAAACCTATATGCCTTGTTACAGCCATTTTTAAAGACCAGGATCCATAAATTTGGAGCACACAAACTTATATAGATTGATTATGTCCCATCAAGTCATTTCAACTCATGGCAACCACATAAGTAAATTTCCTCCATGACGATCTGTCCTTAACTTTCAGGTCTTCCAATGCTGTACACATCACAATTATAACTGAGTTTCTCCTCCTTGCTGTTGGTCATCCTCTTCTTTCCTTCCACCTTTCACACCATTAGACCCTTTTCCAGAGAGCTGAGTCTTCACAGGATATGACTGAAGTAGATTAATTTGAGCCTGGCCATTTGTGCCTCAAGTGAGAACTTTGGATTGGCTTGTTCAACGATCCTTCAGTTTGTTTTCTCAGTTGTCCACAGTATTCTCAGGAATCTTCTCCATCTCTAATATCCTGGTAGTTGAAGTATGTCCAGGAATTTCTGGTTATACATATGTAAAATAATAAAGTAGTTCTTTTCATGTTTTGCTCAATCCTTGGTGAGGATTGGACACATCCATATAGTTTTCTTGACAATAGCACAATAAAGGTTTGGCATTTTCCTTCTTTATTGCCATCAAGCCTAAAAGCTGATATTCCCTGGTGGTCTCCCAGCCATTGGACGACAACAATCATGCATAGTTCCAAGCTCAGAAAGGTTGGGTAGATACATCTATATGTATTCCTGATCTAGAAGACTTTCAAGGTGGCCTCTACTATCAAATCTTTATTTTTCTCTATGTCATGATGCTGTAGTGAGAATAATAGCAAAGTGATAATATATTTTTCATTTATGTTGGTTAAGATGTTTTGGAATGTCAGTCTGGTGTACAGGTTAAAGCATTATGGTAGGCTAGAAACAAGATGATCATGAGTTTCTAACTCCACCTTAGGGACAAAGGGTGACCTTGGGCCTGCAATTTTCTTTCAGCCTTAGGAAGAAGGTAATGGCAAACCACTTCGGAAATCTTGCCAAGGAAACTGCAGGGATTTTTCCAGGCAGTCACCAGAAGTCAACCCTGACTCAAAGGCACAGAAAAGCGAACAAACAGACAAAAATACTACAAATGGCAGTAAGCAACTTAAAAGAGACATGTGTGAGAGTGAAAAGCAATCTCTCTCCAATTGTCTACCATGATCAAGACATTTCTTATAACAGAAAGCAAAATTGTCTTCTTTTTCATCTGCATTGTTTTTCTCTTAGAGGTACATTTATTCAGATTGAGTTACATCACTGATGCTTTCAAAGAATTAATTGGGTCATTTTAAAGGTGAAGAAGGCTATACTAATCAATGCAACTGTGCTAGAGGAAAATCTCTCCATCCAAGCAATGGCAAAATGAAATGACAATGCAACATAGCTCATAACTTCCTTTGCCTCCTCAGATAATTTTATTGCATTTGCTTCCAACTTTCCTTCCTTAACCTCCAGGAAAAATTCTTTTGCCTGTGCCTTGCTTTTAGCAATAGGAAATACCTTATCTTTCACTTTGTGCCTCTGTAGCATCTAAAGATAGGGCATTTAGCCCAGGCTAAATACTCTGATTCCCCATATCAGTGGTTTATGGAGCTTGCACTTACTTAAGCCTTCCTTTTAAATCAGTAGGATTTTGAAATGCTTAACTTTGGCAGAAAATGTCTCTAGTTTAAGATGCCTGAAACTGATTTTTCTTGTTTCTCATGCAAAATTCTGCTTATAAAGTTCCTTTACAGAAAAAGAAAATAGATATTTGTTCACTTGAGAAAGAAAGAAAGAAAGAAAGAAAGAGAAAGAAAGAAAGAAAGAGAGAGAGAAAGAAAGAAAGAAAGAAAGAAAGAAAGAAAGAAAGAAAGAAAGAAAGAAAGAAAGAAAGAAAGAAAAAAGAAAGAAAGTCATTAGTGAAAATATTCAGATCTGAAAGTGACTATTTCAGGAAGGCAAGGTTGTGGGAAAGAGACCTTTGTCCTATAAACAATGAAAACTCTGCTAGATACTAGGAAGTAACCAAGAAATTTGGCCTTGACTTCCTTCCTCAGTATTCCTTGTTGCCCTCCCAAGTGGCTCTTTCCTGGACATATCCTTTCCCCCTCTCTTTACTGTTTCATTCATCCTGTTTTAAAGCAACATCAGAACACCACAGCTTACCTACTAGATAGAATATGAATATGAATAGAATTATATATGAATAAAATAAACAAATGAAGAATGGCTGCAGGACTTGGGTTTGGCTAGTCTAAAGAAAAGAAGAAACAGGGGAGACATGACAGCAGTATTCCAGTATCTGAGGGGCTGCCACAAAGAAGAAGGAGTCAAGGCTATCTCCAAAGCACCAGTAGGCAGGACAAGAAGCAATGGATGGAAACCAATCAAGGAGAAAAGCAAGCTGGAATTAAGGAGAAACTTCCCGACAGTGAGGACGATTAATCAGTGGAATGGCTTACCTTCAGAAATCGTGGGTGCTCCATCACTAGAGGTTTTTAAGAAGAGACTGGATAGTCACTTGTCTGAGATGGTATAGGGTCTCCTGCTTGAGCAAGGGGCTGGACTAGAAGACCTCCAAGGTCCCTTCCAGCTCTATTCTATTATATACTGGTTCATAGTGCTTTATAACCCTTTCTAAGCAGTTTACAGAGTAAGCATATTGCCCCAAACAATCTGGATCCTCATTTTACTGACTTCAGAAGTATGGAAAGCTGAATCAAACTTGAGCCGGTGAGACTCAAACTGCTGAATTGTGCCCACCTAAATCCAGGTGAAATGTTAATATATATATATATGTTTTCTGAGGTTTTCGCGGGTGTTTGTATGTAGGTCTTTGGTTGTTCGGGTTTTCTCCCGCGTAAAATTGGAAGTGTCTTGGCGACGTTTTAATCAATCTAAGTTCCATTGCAACTCTAAGGACTTACTCTTTAAGAATCACTGTCCATTTAAGTCCTCGCCAGCATATAGACAAAGTTAGTATTCCTTGCATAATAAGCCTCACTGTACAGTTGTTTACAGTGAACCACATTTCCTACTTAGCCTGATTTTCTCAAATTAGAGACATTTATCTTAATTACGCCATGTGGGCCAACTGTATCAGTTGCAAAACACCTGATTGGAAAATATGAATTTCCATAGATGGAGAAGTTTCAGCTCTAAGAAAAAAACCAAAGTCATCTTAATGCAAATAAGAAGGTTTTCTCTCATAGCAATGCTATAAGAAAATAAATATACAGGAACTGATAGGATATAGCAATCCTACTATTGCTTTGAGAAAGAGAAAGGCATCATTTAATGTCTGTGATTGATTGCAACGTCCTACCACATGGGTCCTTCATATTTAAAATAAGCTGCATGTATATGGCTTCATTTAAGTTATGAGAACTAGAGAACTGAGAAGTAAGTTTACAAGAAGGACTTTAGTTCAAACATTTTAAGAAGCAAAGCCTGAATTACACTGTTTCTGGAATCTTGGTGGTATAATCAAGTGATTCAGCCAACTAACCAGCTTGGCTGTAGATCTCACTTCTCTCCCCCCCCCCCCTTTTTTTTTTTTTTTTAATTTTCATGCCCTCTCTGTTGTTAGTGGTCTGATTCTTGTAGGAGCAGAAGCTGACTCTATCATTACAAAACTTTATTGTAGGATGTCCATACCAAACCAAGAAGATACACGAAGACCTATAATTTTCTCTGCTCACTTGCCAGCTAGGCCCTCTGGGTCCGTGCCCTCTCTGAGGCCCAGCATAGCTCCACCAGGAATGTTTTAGACATATATTGCATGTAGCTTCTCTGAGATAGATCCTAAATATTCAGTATATGCCTTCTGGAAATTTTCCTCATCCAAATAAGGAAATGCACCTATAAGAACTGGCATACATATGGAAAATGGGACCGTGTAGTAATTAATACAGCTCAGTATTTCAAGAAGAGCAGGTATGAATGCATGAAGGAGAACTCTAAAGGGGTATGTGTCATGTTACTCATTTGCAAGTTCCAGCTTTAGAAACAACATTATCTCTGAATATTCAAAAGCAATGTTATAAGACATTATTTATACCCTTGTACCTCTCGTCGGCTGGTTGGCCACTGTGACCAACAGGATGTTGGATTAGATCATGGGGAAATTATGTGGTCTTCTAGCTTCCTTTACTTTTTGCTATGGGAGAGATTGCTGCTAAAAGTTTTACTTCATGTTGATGTTACCTAGTTTGGGTAATGAAATATCTGCAAGAAAACAACAAGCTCAGAGAACCCCAAGGATGATAATCATCTCCTTCTCCTTCTTCCTGCTCTTCTTCCTCCCCTTCGCCCTTCCTCCTTCTCCTTCTTCTTCCTCCTTCTTCCTCCCTTCACCTCCTCCTCCTGCTCCTCCTGCTCCTCCTCCTGCTCCTCCTCCTCCTCCCTTATAGCATTAGGTAAGGAAAGAAAAGCCATCCAAAATTCTAGCTCTGAAGCTTTATAAAATACAGAAATAGAACGTGGCTATCCTTGAAAATGTGGCACATGTGCTATTAAGGAGGCCAACTTCACAATTAATTCTAATTGCAACATGAGGACTATTTATGGATGCAGATGTTAGATATGTGGAAAGACTGCCGGCACGAAGTTGGTGAAGAAATAACTGTACTTTCTCAGAAAGAGTATCATTGGTTGCATTTAAGAATCAACATTCCAAGTTCTATAAATTGAAACTTATTTATTTTACATTTGAACTACAAATCCTGGAATGAAGGAAGGAAGGAAGGAAGGAAGGAAGGAAGGAAGGAAGGAAGGAAGGAAGGAAGGAAGGAAGGAAGGAAGGAAGGAAGGAATGATATATAGTCAGAGAAATAAAAACGCACAACCTGAGCTTTCAAACTGAAGCTGATTACCATTGATAAACTAGAGTTCTGATCATTGCTACATCTTGGAGAAATCTTGGTCCTGTGCTTCATAGGGTTGCTTCATTACAAGAATAGGAGGACATTTATAAATGTTGAGAAGGTTGGAAATAAAAACAAAAGAAATTCTAAATCATATGGTGGAACAGTCCTTAGAATGTATTGCAGGCTAGTTCTGCTGACTGCCGGCTGCCAGCACTTCAGCAATTCAAATCTCACTGGTTCAAGGTTTACTCAGCCTTCCATCCTTCCCAGGCCAGTAAAATGAGGGTCCAAATTGTTGGGGACAAAATGCTGACTCTGTAAACTGCTTAGAGAGGGTTGTAAAGTCTAAGTGCTATTGCTATATAATGAAAAGTTCATGCCATGATGTGGGATCTTAATTATGGTCAGAACAAATTGGGCTTTAGCATGTTATCTAAATTTAGCTAGTTCCTCAATAAAATAGAGGAGCTGTCACAATATTATGAGCATCAAGAAATAAAAGAATAATTAATCTAATGAGTTAAAAATGCAACAGAAAGTGTATCGGACAGCAAACAAAATGTTTGTTCCAAGTATTTCTGAATGAAAGAAACAGATTTCAAAAGAACCAGCTTCAGTTCTAGAACCTCTTTTTCCTATGAATATTATGTGCAATTGAAAGACAATCTAACTGAACGAAGGTGAAAGCATTCTGTAAAATAGTGCACATATGTTGAATTGAATGATGAAAAAATGGTAGCAGATAAAATATGTTTATAAGCTATGCTTCCACATTAAATTTAAATGGTTTTGTGAAACAGCAAAAAATAATTTATTATAAAAAGGGGTATGTTTATTTTTTGTGCCTCTATTTTAATATCATGTTGTGTTTTATTATGAGACACAGCAAAATCCTTCATTGGTTTTTCATTTATGTTTTCCAATGGAAATATAGAGGCTAAAGCTGTTAGCATTAATGCTAAGATGGTGATTTAATCAATCGCTTCATCAAACCTTTTATCTTCCTAATCTAGGAGAAAATTGCAAGATTTTTCAAGAAAGGAAAGGAAAGGGAAGGCAAGGGAAGGGAAAGAAAAAGGAGAAAGAAAGAAAGAAAGAAAGAAAGAAAGAAATAAAGAAAGAAAGAAAGAAAGAAAGAAGAAAAGTCTCTTGTTCACAGCTCAGTGTGGGCAGTCATAAAGCTGTTTTTGAAAGTAAACAAATAAAGAATTGAGAAAATAAGGAAGAAGTTGGTATTTAGAGAATGTGAATATTTGGAGAATGTGCCGTTCTAAACACTGAAGGGGCTGTTCATTTATTGGTGGAGTTCATTACAACAGGAACTGGTTAAGTATTATTTTTAAGAATACATATATACAGTTTGTTGAGATAAATGGACATTAAAATGCTGACTGTTTCCCACAGGCCAAAATTAATAGAGTGAATGGAAGTGATTTTGTCTAGAGGTCACTGTGGAGGTTGATTCCAACAATCTTTTGCTTCCTATAATGATAGACAACTCTGTTTGTCTTATGTTAGCCACAAGTTATTTTTCATTGTGAAGACAACTGTGGGCGAGAACTATTAGAAATCTTGAGAAAGAAATGGAATGAATCATCCAAGAATTTATCTGCCAATCCCATCCTGACTTCTTAGTGTTCATAAAACACAGAATAATAGAGTTTGAAGGGACCTTGGAGTCTTCTAGTCCTATTCCCTGCTCAAGCATTCTGGAGGCTGTCCAGTCTCTTTTGATTAATTTCATCTTGCCTTCTTGAATTTGGCTTGTTTGCAAACTTATCCGATTATCTTATTTAGAAGTTTATTAAGTATTGCACCATTTTCATTTTATTTTGCTCACTTTGTAAATTCCTGCACGAGAGTCCTTAGCTAAAAATGATATCCTAATGCCCAGTCACTGCACAGCATTAAAGAATTAAAGAATTTGAGAATCATCGAGTTGGCAAGGTCTATCTAGACCAGTGGTTCTCAACCTGTGGGTCGGGACCCCGTTTGGGTCGAGCGACCATTTCACGGGGGTCGCCAAACAACGCAGTCCACCATTTTTTCCCCTTTTCCTTAGCTGTGCTACTCCCTTTTATTCTATTGGCTTTTGAAAGCCAATAGAATAGACTCTCTTGAAGAGAGTTTAATTCTATTGGCTTTCAAAAGCCAATAGGAATTGTCCAGGCTGTCTCTGCCCTGCTGAGACCGCCAAAAGCCCCAGTCTGCAAACGGTGCTGCACCAGTTGACTTATGACTGGTTGAGTAGTCCTCGACTTACGACCGGTTGGGGGTCGCGGCATTAAAAAGGTTGAGAACCACTGATCTAGACTTTCAAATCCAGCTCCTGCTCAGTGTATCAGAAATGCATAATCTGTGACTCCAGAGTCAAATGCAGCTCTGATCTGATTGATTGATTAATTGATTCATTCATTCATTCATTTCTTACTTACTTATTGTAGCATTTTGATATTGTGTAGTCCAAATCTATCTAGGCAGCTTAAAAACTCTTGAAAAACTTTGCTCCAGAGTCCTTCCAAAAGGTTGCCACTGCACTGTCATTTCCAGAATGATGAAAGGGGAAAATGTTTAAATACCATAGGGAGTATCGAAGCTACCTCTTTTTAATTAATTTGATTTATTTTTTTGAATTAAATGTAAATATAATTTAATTCAAATTAATTGTTGTGCATTTTTTGTCCTGGCAGCAAAAACCTTCTGGAAGATAGTCCTCTGGGTACTGTTCAACTTTTAAGATGTTGCCATCCTCTAGGAACAAAAAAAACTCTGCCAGAAATGCACACTTAAGAAATATAGAAAGCAATGCAACACACTATGATAAGAAATACTCTTCTTGCAAAAACAAAAACAAATAACACTGACTTACTTCACTCTTTCAAACCAGAGTTAGGTAGACATAAAT